ACTTTTCTTACAGGAACAAACATTTGGCTTTTCATATTGAACCACTCCTGGGTTACGGCTAAAAATATTCTCTTGAAAATTCCTTTTTTTTAAATTTTCTACAAATTCTAGATGATGAGAAAATCGTTAAGAAACCACACAACATTTTCTCTGTTCATGATCCCTCTCAACATTAAGTTCATGATGTTCTATGCCGTTTTGTAGACCATCTAAGGAACGTTGTACTTCACACAACTCAAGGCGAGTACGCTCTACGACAGAATGCTCGGGACCAAGCTTTTTCGACCTAATGTCCAGAGCACGTTCGTAAAACTCCTTGGCTAGTTCCAAGTCGCCCAAGTTACGATGTACATTACCCAAGCTATGGTAAGAAAACGCCACATAAACATGGTCATGTTCAAGATTCTTCAATTGTATGTCTTAGGCACGTTCGTATAACTCCTTGGCCTCTTGCATGTTATTCAACTCAAATTGCACGTTACCTAAATGGTGGTATGAATTCGCCATATCGACATGCTCGGGCTCAAGATTTTTCCGGTTTACAGCTAAAGCTTTTTCGTGACATTCCTTGGCCTGTTGCAAATCACCCAATCGACGGTGAACTTCACCCAATTTATGGTAAGTAGGTGCGACATCGACATGCTCTGGTCCAAGCTTTTTCAGCTTAATGTTTAAAGCAATTTCAAAGCACTCCTTGGCCTGCTCCAGTTCACACAATTCACGGTGGATACCACCCAAGTTAGAGTAAGTGAGCGCGACATCATCATGTTCGGGTCCAAGCTTTCTCAACTCAATCTTTAAAGCACGTTCACAATACTCCTTTGCCTGTCGCAGGTTACCCAAGTCACGCTGTACATTTGCCAAGCCAAAGAAAGTACGCGAGACGTTGACATGATCGGGTCCAAGCTTTTTCAACCAAATGTTTAGAGCACACTCGTAAGACTCATTGGACTTTTGCAGGTCATCCAATTCACGCTGTACATCACCTAAGTTATGGTAAGTATGCGCGACATCAACATGCTTGGGTCCAAGCTTTTCCAATCTAATTTTTAGAGCAAGTTCCCAATAATTCTTGGCCAGTGGCAAATCATCCAATTCACGCTCTACATCACCCAAGTTATCGTAAATACGCGCGACATAAACATCTTTGTCGTCATACGTTTTCAACCTAATGTTCAGAGCACGCTCAAAATAATTCTTAGCGCTTTGCAGGTTTCCCAGTTCACTTTCCACGACACCCATGGTAAAGAATGAAAACGCAAAATAAATGTGGTCATGACCAAGATTCTTCTGCTGAATTTCTAAAGCACATTTGTAATACTCCATGGCCTTTTCTAGGTTACCCAAATCGTGCTGTACATTACCCAGATGATGCAATGTTCTCGCTACGTCAACATGCTCGGGTCCA